AGTAACTTACCTTGGAATCACACAGTAAATGAAATATAGGCTCTTGACAAAATAATGAATATATTTCTGGAGAAAAGATGCTGTTGTCACTTAATTGGTTTCTTTTTCCCTATATTTTTTTCCTAGGGTTTTTTTGGGGAAAAGGGGGGATTAATACTGACCTCCATAACACTGTTTATCCTTTGGATTTTCACTGAGTAAGAAAATTCACTTACTGAGTTTTGCTCCTCCAACTTTATGTTGTACTGCTTTATCCTCTTCATGCTATGAAGAGAAGCACCTCACATCCTCCCCACCTCCCAGCAACCTGCCGTAAACTCACTGCAGTTCTGTAATACTTCTACAACTTCATCATCCTTGGCTTTATCCTTATCATCAGTAAACGTTATACTTCACTTAGGCTTCTGCCATTTTCCTAATCCATTATTCAATGATAGGATTAAATAAAACAAAGGGCAAGTTTTTGCCAACTGTCTGTACTGCATTTCACAACAGTGTAAGCCACACACCACCTATCTATTTTAGTACAGTCAAGCCCTACTGGCAAGTCCCATGAAGACAAGGAAAAACTCCCCAAAATTTCTTTCCTCCTAAATCATTTGGGTGAAACAAAAATTCTGGAGCCCAGTGTGCACAGTTCCTGGTCTACTCAGCTTTCTAAACAGATCTCTTGGAAGCTTTTGGGATTCAGGGGAAGAGCATGCTACAGCAGAAACCATGCTCCAGCTTTTCACACTAAGATTCTCTGAGGAACCTCCTGTAGCATCTATGGGAAAATGTCCCAGGTGGCCAATATGTGTCTCTTACACAACCCGTGTGGCCATTTCTTCCATTCTGGCCTTCCCTCCACTTCCAATAGCACAAGGAAGTTGGGAATGTTAGCCTTTGGATAAACTGGATAAATTTACACTGTATGCTCTGATGTTCTCACGTGGCACAGAGACACTGCACTACAGCATAAGGCACAACGTCGCCAAATTACATACAGGAGGTACACAAGAATGTGGAAGAAGACAGAACTCGGACCATATTGAAAAGCTGAATTCATTCACCTTTCTGTGGAAATACTGGTTAAATCCTATTCAATACAGTTAATTGTTTTCCCTAATTTTTTGCAAAGTCCATCCTGAATTATGAAAATAATGAGATGCCAAACGCTACACTTGAACACTCCGTAATCAGTAACTTTTAAATCCCATTAACAGAAAAGCTCTAGTCACATTCTTTATTAAGTTATTTACCTCTTTAATTCAATTTATCATATGGTCTACTTGCCTGATTGCATGGTAATGCAATGTGGATGACTAAACAGCTTACAGAAATCTTTTTTACCTCATAAATACACGTGGGAGAAGAAATGTACCACCAACGTCCATTTGATGGAGATAAGTCCATTTTATCAGAGGACAAACAGACTCCAGTTCTGCTGGTGAGCTCTAATTGCTCAGGTCACCATGGAGGGATGGGGTCTAGGTTTGCCTCCTTCTTTGGCTTCGTTATTTTTGTAACTGCAGTGAAACCTGTTAACAACGGGCTGATAGAAATTTGACCTAGCTCCCCAATGACTATAAAACACGCTTCCATTCCTGTGAAGGCAATCTTCCTGAACCGAGTTTTTAACTGGTTTTCTCAAATGACTGCACTACTGCTCGGGGCTGCATCTCTGCAATCTGTGGGAGTTTAGCTGTTGGTAACAATGTCTCCAAGGAAACTGCAGTCAGTGGAGAACTATCTCCGTTTCCTGGTAAGGTTTTTCGGCTTTCTATCCAGTTTCCTTTCCTGTTCACAGAGATGACTATCTGAAGAGTTTGGTTAGTTCTAAATCACTTATGGTACTGTCAAAAAAAAGACTGTTTGACAAAGTGAACAGAAACAAAATTAAAATAGATCCTGTAGAGTTCACTCAAGCCCATCCCTATTAAGCCATTTGGTCACTGAAATGACACCCGCAATATTCTACCTTAGTTTTTTAGCAGTGTTGAACATTTGGTCCACTATATTTAGCATATACTTGCTTTTGTCTGTGCTTCTGAATTCCACAGTATTCAGAACTTGCCAGTATTACTGAGTATACTGCAGGCTCTTCACTGTTTCTGATCACTCTACAAGAGGATTAAATATTATGAAGAACACCTGTTAACAATAAATTCCTACTTGCATTGTCCATAGGTACTGTGGAAAGCTAGCCATGGTTATTTCTTCATATGCTGTAACATAAAAATGTAGTACAGCACAATAAATTAGTCCTAGACTCATAATGGGATTTTTTTTTTAATACCTCATTTCAAACATACACATGCAAGTGTTGAAGGTTACTTCAGAAATACACTGACAGACTAAAAATAGATTTTTTTTTTCCTGTGGTATCTTTAAAAATTTCTTCCAAAATGGAAGTATAGAAATAAATATTTGGAATCTATTAATTTTTTTTGATCCTTTTTTCCTTCTTATAAGTCTTTAAAATGAAACAAACTACAAATTAATCCAAGTAGCACATTTAGCTCTATCTTGGTCAAATAGCCTGAACCAGTGCTGATCCCACTGAACAATGCACTGAAAAAGCTGATTATACAATCAGTATACAGAAATGGGTGGAAGGAAGAGACAGCTGTTTCTAGCGAATAATTTAAAGCTCTGCCTGAGAGAAAATATCCTTGGTTTTCACCAAAGAGGAAAGCAAGGAATGATTTCAGTAACTTCTAGCACAAACACAAGGTTCTCAAAATGGAGAAGGCCATTGTTCTTCATACTAGAAATATTTTATCATTTGCGCAATTGTGATCAATAATGGTCAGAGGATTGGCTTTGTTTCTTCTGGCTTAACATAAATAAACAGTAGACTCTCTTCTGTTTGCAGTAATTTGCAGTAATGTGGCCAAATTAGGGAAGAAACAGCTACATAAACTAGAAATACATCCAAACTACTGCAGTTAGACATCTTGCACGGGTGCTCCACTTCCAGTTCTGTGCTATAGCACGTGTAATGGTTTTCTAAGGAGTGTTGTAATCTCAGATGTAAAAGGCAAACAGGAGAGGACCATATCTGGCCTCTTGAGAGCATCACTTAAGTAAAAAAAGATAAAGGTAACTGTTCTTATCACTACATTATAATAAAGTCATGTAAGACATTACCATATCCTGTGCATTCTTTTAGCAGTTCAATGCTATACAAGAAATAGCAACCTGGGATCCAAACTACACAATGTAGTATACATCTCTTCCAGTCTCCCAAGTCTCGTAAGTTAAAGGTCAGATTCTCAGCCATGAACTGGCTAGAGTTTGGAGAGACAGAAAGAAACACAGAGACAGAGTCATAGTTTCACCATTCTGGAGTCTTTTTGTCCCAGCATAGTCTAGGGCAGTCTCATGCATGTATGTCCTCAATTACCACAGCTGCTTGCAGTCTCCATCAGTCACCTGATCATTACTTGGGCATAGATCACTCAACACTCACCTGATCTGTCCCCCAGCACAAAACTGTGACCATGGGCTACCAATCTGCTATTCCAATCAACTGAAGCTAAGGATTAGTCCCCTGAAAGGAGATTCAGCTACTTCCAGTCTCTTCAAAGGCACAACCAGATCGCAGCTGAGAATTTGGCCTTTGATTTTCACTTGTCATCTCCACAGAAATGCTAACCGTTGCCTAGCCAGATGGATCTGTGTAAACATTTTTACATTTAGTGCCTGCATATCTTTCACCTATTCTGGTGAAAAGAACATTTCTGATCAAGATTTCTATTGAGTTTAAACTTTTCAACTCTTTAACAAAGTTGACCGCTTGCTTGATGCAATTTGAACCCCTAAGGAAAGCAACTACCTATGCCATAGTGAGAGAGAAATAAAACAGACCATAAATAAACCTTGTGTTCTTCCCAGGCTCCACCTGGAAACTTTTTTTTCTTATTTATTTCACAGCATTCCTTCACAAAAGTGTATCTCTCATTCACTCAAAGATGTGCCACACTCATCAAAGCACAGGAAAACTTGTTTTGCTTAATTCTGAAGTCACTTTTAAAACTCTGCTGAAAATTTAACTTCACTCAATTATAGAAAAGTGGAAGGGTGATAAATGTGTGTGTATGGGGAATATGTGTTCAAAGGAAATCAGAGGAGCATGACTGAAAAATATGGGGAGAAAAAAAACGGTAAAAAAAAACCCCAAATGAAAAGCATTCAAAGAATTCAAATTAAAAGTTGAACACTGTGGGCATCAGATGTAATTTAGGAAAAAATCCTCAAGCTGGTCAGCAAGGTCAAAGAAGGACCACGTACTTAACATCACCTTACCAAACAAAAAACTCCAATTTTGAGAATTCCATCAGATTTCAGATTTAACAAGATTCACCCATTCTTATTTTGGAGTGAGAATTTCCCAAGTTGCAACACAAAATAATGCTTAGTAAAAATATATGGAGCTCTATAACTCCTTTGCATAACTTCTCTGGAGTTGCACTCTCCCAGGCTGGACTCTCTTTTCTTTTTCTGCTGTTCATTTCCTCCCCCTCACCACACATTCTGACAATTTTAATCTAGCAGGGAAAGTCCTTTCCTAGCAAGCACTGTCAAAATATTCAGGACACTGGCCTTGCACTCAGAGAATGCAATGCTGTGTCCAGACTGCAGTGCTGGGTGCCTCAGGGATTTGTAATAATCGACATGCGTATTCCTAGCAGTCAAGACGTGTTCCACTGCACAGGTGCACACCTCTGCCTTTGATTTGTTTCGGGTCCATGTTCCTTCCAAAGGCAAGTCTGGTGCAGCCAGAGCAGTCTGAAGAGAGGGATGGTTCTCTGCTAGCTGAGGGGAGGAAGACAAATCTGTTACCCATTACTCTGTTAGGACTTAACTCATTATCCCCAAAAACTCCAGCCTTTACAATGGGAAAGTAGCACACAGTTTTTATAAATAAGAATTATTGACCTTTTTAAATAGTTTCAAATGAAGAAACTCTGCATCAAATGTGAGTATAATTTAGGAACTACTACATAGCAGCAAAACTACATTAGACTTTCTGATTTTTCCATGGTATCCTTGGATAGATACACCACCCAGTAGACCATGTTAAATGCTCCGAAGGTAACAGGAAATAAAATGCGTGCATATTTGTCTATCTTACTCGTGCCAGAGTGGGAGGCGGGGGGAGCAGGTGGTGTGACAGCAGATGGCTTTGCAGATGCTCCTAATGTATTAGATGTGGTGGTCTGAATCTGCTCCAGTCTAGATCCAAGCAAGTGCTGAATGGAAGGGGATCCAGCTGTGGCATGCTGGGATACAAATCCAGTTAAAATTGGGGTAGAAGGAGGAGCTGGAGGGGTAGCTCTTGCAGAAGATAATGTCTCTGACGCGTTGATGTGTGTGAAAGGGTTGGGACTTGATGCAGAAAGGGAGTGGGGTGTAATGTCCGAAGACCCCTGAGCTACAGAGGTAGGCTGGATGGAGCTGTGCCTTGTGTCAATTCGGCTCCCACCATCAGCTTCGGACTGTACTGCGGCATTCATTCTTTTCCTCACATTCGAATTAGAATCTGTACTCTGCAAGGTTATAAAAAAAAAAAAACAACTAGTAATTCTCAAACACTTAAACAGAAGCAATGGAAACTTTATAACCAAGCACTATTAAAATAATATAAATATAACCAGTAGCTTGATACTGAAGCACAAAGATACTGCATGCTCATGAAAACAGATCTAATAGCACATAAAATGATAAAACAAGAGTTCCTTTTACCTGTGGCTGGAATACTAGGGTGAACACATCTGATGCCTCACACTCCGTGTGATGTGGTACTTACGTAAACTTAATATCATGAGGCTAAGGATTCTTGGATTAGAGTCGGGGGTTTTTTACAGGTTTATGCTCAAAACAAAATTCTCTGATGTCCACCTATTTCTCTGGTGATATAAAAACTTTCCAGATGCAACTTAACACCCACGATGGTTTATTTCTGCTTTATATCTCCAGAAAAGTAACTACCACATATTAGGAACCCTAGTCTGTCTTCTAGAGTAGATACTATTAAAATGTAAGTATTTACCAAACCAAGTTACCACATTGCTGCTCTTTCAGAAATAAAGGCAGTGCTTTTTCAGACCAACCACAGGCAATAAATTCTTCAGCTGTAATAGAACCAGTGAATAAATCAGTCATTCATCAACTACTCATTTCCATTAATTAACTAAGAAAAGTGGTGAATTCTTGATCACTTGATGTCTTCAGGCAAGTCTGGGTGTCATTCTGAAAGATATATGTAAGCCAAATAGTACTGATTAGGCTGGATGAGAAACTGAATTGCAGATAAGGAAGTATAGATGGGAAATTCAGCAGAGTTTAATATTTTACTGACTTCTGGGAGTGGGACTCAGGCTCTGCCCTTCTCTGCATTTAAGAGGAAGCCTAACATCTCCTGAACCTCCTTCTAGAAGGGTACCTGAGCAGACTTTTGAACCTTCAGCCCTGCACCTTAAAATATAATATAAAAAATTATATTTTAGCTATAGTATATATTTTATGCAAAGACTCACTGCTTTACAAAAGACAAAGATTTAATGGCAGATAGGGTAGACTTACTCAACAGCAGAAATACAGGTCTAAATACGAGCAGAAACAAACAATCACTTATTTATCAAAACATCGTATGTTTTGCACCTCCCTGATGATACCATTCCCAATCATTGCCCTGTACCACATCTGCTGTGTCTTTGGCTCCCCTTCCCTTCCCAATACCTGAGAACCATGCCAAAGCTCACAGCACAATGAAAAGGGAGAGCAAGTGGGCAGCAATCTCTCTCATCTCCTTCCTCTGACAGCGATTCCCTCCAGCTAAGTGCCAGAGCAGTAATGGAGAACAATTCAGGTGTTATTCAAGTAGCACCTTGAGTAGTGAGAAGCGTGACAATCATGTCTGTCTGCTGCATCAGTTGTGCTTAGCTGTTTTGCTCAAGGAAACAGAGAAAAAGGAGCTGCAAAAAAAATCTGAAAAAAGAATTTAAAAACAAACAAAAAGAATCACTTGATATCTCCAGTACTCCTATCATGGCCAGAATGCTGATCCTAAATCCTGTTAATTGCAGTACAAATCAGCCACTGGCAAAACTGCTGGCCTGAATTTATCTGAAGCTGTCAAGATATATGCCAGTTCATGGCTGATCTATTTGACAGCTCATGGTTGATATATTAAAGGATCTCTCTTATGTTTCAAAGTTTTCCTTCCTGCATAGAAGCATGTCAATCCCTTTCATTTATTCTTCTGCATCTGCAACCCAAAGAAGCATAGGACTGGAATAAACACCAGAGGAAACTGGTATTACCTGGAAGAAACTAATTTTTCTGTTTGAAAGAGAAGCCTGAGTCACTCTTTGGGGAGTACACACAGGTGTGCCATTTGGATATTTTCATACTAGGGTTGTCAATGACCCTGGAATGGTGAAGCAGCTTTCAAGAATGCTAAATTGAAACTATTAAAATCAATCGGGACATGAATGCATTTACTAGAGACTCAGTAATACCTGAGGAGTACCTGCAGATCCTTGGACAACCTGGCTTTGCTCAAGTAAGATTCTCCCAACATAAAGCTCTCAAGCACTGCAAAGTAGATCTGCACTGGAGCTGAGACATGTCTCACTTCCCCTCCTGCTCTCTGCCTGCATTAGACCAGTAGCTCAGAGGTGGTGCTGCTGGAGGACAAGAGCAACCGTAAAAGAATGGTCCCAAGAGCAAAACAGAGAACTAAGTGCCATTCACAGAGGCACCATTTCACTCTCCTGCTCACTTGTACTGTCACCTGTTTTCAACAGCCACCTCAGTGTCCTTCTCTTCTGTGCATCATCAACCACAGATACTGGTAAGTCAGAGAGGTGACAGCCAGGCTTCTTCTCACATTTCTTTTGTGGGTACTTGTTTCCATCAATTCCATTTGCATAATACCTCCTCTTCCCCCACTCTGGCTGTTGTCTAAGTGACCAAATAAGACTGGTTCCTATTTAATCCACTACTCATTGCCCATTATACTGATTATTCCAGAATAAAGTTATCTATACTATTTCAGACGGTAAAAACATGTAACTGTTTAAGTCTACTGGATATTCTCTTTCTTGACACTGATACACAAAGACTCCAATACTTCAGGAACCTTAAGTTTAGACAGAAACCCAGTTTCCTTGTTAGTATTACAATGTACACATAAAGACCAAATAGATAACATTGTAAGATACGACAACGTAGCACTAGATCACAAATCCCCAAACTATGAGTACATTTTTTGTTAATTCTCTGGAAACCACCTTCCACGTGCTCAGAGCAGGGAAATTAGAAATAATATTTCTAACATGCTCTAAAGACAACTTATCACTGAAAGGCCAGGTTGGATGGGGCTTTAAGCAACCTGGTCTAGTGGAAGGTGTGCCCATCCATGGAAGGGGGGTTCAACTAGATGATCTTTAAGGTTCCTTCCAAGACAAATCATTCTGTGAGTCTATGAAAACTGGTCATTCTTGCATAATGTCATTGTAATAGTTTAGATCTGTGTTCCTGAATTGAACCTTGTGCTTGCAATGTACTGAAACAAGCATTTTCCATGGCGAGAGATGCTACATTACACACAGGAATGCAAGCGCTTTGGCCACTGCTGGAGTAGCCTGTTAACCATTAATGCTCACTCTGACAGTGCTAGGAATAACTTAAATACCAGAGATAGAAAATACTCTGCATCAGTGCTTAGCTTCAATACTATATGCACCCCAGAACCCTACCTAAGGGGGACACATTCCAACTCTTGTCCACAGTAGGTTTTGCAGAATCAGCGTGCAGCAGCAAACAAGACATGACATTTTTAACATGGCAGCTGTATCACTCCTGCCACGAGTGATGAACACCCAGCTCCGTGCCCTGTCAAAGCTGAGCAGAACGCATACTCACTGCCAGGGTGGCCTTGCCAGCCCATTGCCCACCATCTACTCTCATATACCCTTTTCTTCCACTTGCCTTACATAAGACTGTATCATGACAATAGCTCATTACCCTCCTTCAAAGCACTCAAGTGTCTCTCCTTTTTGGGTCTTCCAGTTGAGAAGTTTCTAGAAAAAAAATCTTGTTATTGGCTGTAAACATATGACCTCTATGTATTCCTCTATTCAGTTTTATAAAGATAACTCATTTCTTCCCACATTAGTCTATTCCTCCTCTGTACTGATGCTGTCTCACAAATCTACATAATTTGAAGATTAGTGCCAAGGTCACTAACAAAAATAATAAACAATGCTGATTCCATGTCCAAGCCTTAATGAGCCAAATTCTGTTGACATCAGCTGAAGTCAGGTTAACCACTACATTGCAAAACATAGTAAAATGCGACATGCAGTTTCTACTGAGCAAAACATTCCACAGACATTTTGGCTATGGTGCATACCCCTAGTAAACCGATATTCTGATAATAACAATCTAATCAACATATTGACATATGTAAAGCACTTGCTGTCTCCCAAAATTATTTTACTTGGTCTTTTCAAAAACAACAGCAAGAAACACAAACCTACTGCCTATCAGTAGCTTTTAGTTTGGAGACACAAAACAATAAATAAAACATGAAAATTAAATGGAAATTAAATTAAAAGGCAACCCAAGAAATAAAGGGATTATCCAAGTAAAGATTCCTTTCTGAGGGAAAGTCAGGAAACCACTCAAATATCCTGAGCCAACAGAGAGCTGCTGTGCTAGTCCAGATGGGGCTCCACAGGAAATACTGAGTCCACATTTTTTACATTCTCACTCTAGATCGAGAAAGAATCTCATTTTCTGGAAGCACTTCAGTGGGATTTTTTGGAAACACTTAAAATGGTGTAGCTCAGGAGCGCAAAATGGCAGCCTGGAAGCTACCATAAAATGCACTATATTGCAGCATGTGATGCCAGCCTTAATACATATAAACACAGTAACTTGCTGCTTATGTAAATGATGCTTCACCCTTACTTTGAAATAGCCTATCATTCTGACTTAGTCCAACCAACTTCACACTTCACAACCACCACCAAACCAGAAGTTATAAGTACTTTGCTTTGCTATATCCTCCTTTAAGAGGAAACCTTCTTGCTATTGATCCCATCAGGAGAACTCAGCCTCTGAAGCTTAACTGGCCAAAACACTATATATGGGAGTTTCAAAATCCTGGGCGATCTGAGAGCATGATTCCTGTCCAAGCATTGACAAAGATCTCAGGAGCTCTAATAATAATCTAAGAATATGTATTTTGTTATAATTGTAAGACATCTTCATTGGATAAAGCTCTGTGGTTGACTGGGATACATTAATGCAAAGAACCTACAGCCTCAATCTCCTATTCGATTTTTAATAGCAAAGATGGGCAACAGTGAAAGCTAAGTTTCAGCCTCCATGGGATTTCAAACATTTATCACCAAGGCTTTGATTTAGGGACACTAAAACATACAATATGCCAGAGGTTGACAGATGACTGCACTAATGAAGCCAAACTTCTGGACAAACAAACTGAAACTGGATGGTCTTTAAGGTCCCTTTCAAT